CTCCATTTGTGAATGTACATTTAGATATACATGATTATGAATTATGGATTATTACGGAATGATTATGTGATTTAACATTAGATGTGCTGTCTGGCTTTAGGTTCTTGCCAGTCTTCGCACAGTGAGGAACAACTTCACCACCTTGACCAATGTACAATGCACCTCTAATAAGTAAGTGAACCTACAATTTGCTTCCATCTGAAATGTAATAACTCATGCATGTAGTATGTACATTGGATTTGTATGCAATGCATTTGTATAGTTATCTAAATCCACAATAAAATAAAGAAGGTGTGTTACATCTGCCCTGAAACTTGGTAACAAGTCTTTGTGGCTGATGAATTTAGTGTGGCCGGTGCACTGAAAAGTTTCACCCATGGGTAAATGCAACATAAGAAGACACATATCAGTTGGTGTAACCAGTGTGCTAGAGAATTATATACAGGAGAGTTTGACCTGAGGTTTCAACCAACCACTAGGTGGCACTCGTGTCAAGTTGATGATTTCATACTGCGACACCACCTTCAGAAAGTATTTGCACCCTTGACTTTTTCCACATTTTTGTTGTGTTACAGCCTGAATTTTAAATGGATTCAATTGAGATTTTGTGTCACTGGCCTACACACAATAGTCAAAGTGGAATTATGTTTTTAGACATTTTTACAAATTCATTAAAAAGGAAAAGCTGAAATGTCTTGAGTCAATAAGTATTCAACCCCTTTGCTATGGCAAGCCTAAATAAGTTCAGTAGTAAAGATTTGCTTAACAAGTAACATAATAAGTTGCATGGACTCTGTGTGCAATAATAGTGTTTAACATGATTTTTGAATAACTACCTCATCTCTGTACCCCACACATATATTTATCTGTAAGGTCCCTCAGTCAAGCAGTGAATTTCAAACACAGATTCAGCCACAAAGACCAGGGAGGTTTTCCAATGCCTCACAAAGAAGGGAAACTATTGGTAGACATTTGAATATCCCTGTGAGCATGGTGAAGTTATTAATTACACTTTGGATGGTGTATCAATACACCCAGTCACTACAAAGATACAGGCGTCATCCTAACTCAGTTGCCGAAGAGGAAGGAAACCACTCAGGGATTTCATGATGAGGCCAATGGTGACTTTAAAACAGTTACAGAGTTTAATGGCTGTTACAGGAGAAAACTGAGGATGGATCAACAACATTGTAGTTACTCCACAATACTAATTTAAATGACAGAGTGAAAAGAAGGAAGCCTATACAGAATAAAAATATTCCAAAAGATGCATCCTGTTTGCAATAAGGCACTAAAGTAAAACTGCAAAGAATGTGGCAAAGAAATTAACTTTATGTCCTGAATACAAAGTGTTATGTTTCGGACAAATCCAACACAACACAACACATCATATTTTCAAGCATGGTGGTGGCTGCATAATGTTATGGGTATGCTTGTCATCGGCAAGGACTAGGGAGTTTTTTAGGATAAAAAGAAACGGAATAGAGCTAAGCACAGGCAAAATCCTAGAGGAAAACCTGGTTCAGTCTGCTTTCCAACAGACACTGGGAGACAAATTCAACTTTCAGTAGGACAATAACCTAAAACACAAGGCCAAATATACACTGGAGTTGCTTACCAAGACCACATAGGATGTGCCTAGTTACAGTTTTGACTTAAATCAGCTAGAAAATTTATGGCAAGACTTGAAAATGGCTGTCTAGCAATGAAGCTTGAATAATTTTAAAAATAATAATGTGCAAATATTGTACAATCCAGGTGTGCAAAGCTCTTAGAGACTTTTACCCAGACTCACAGCTATAATCGCTGCCGAAGGTGATTCTATCATGTATTGACTCAGGGGTGTGAATACTTATGTAAATGAGATATTTATGTATTTCATTTTCAACACATTTGCAAACATTTCTAAAAACATTTTTTTCAGTTTGTCATTATGGGGTATTGTGTGTAGATGGGTGATCAATCCATTTAGAATTCAGGCTGTAACACAACAAAATGTGGAATAAGTCAAGGGGTATGAAGATTTTTTTTTTTTTAAATGTATGAATACTTTCTGAAAGTGAACTACAAGCCATTTCTGATTGTACAAAACTTGCTACTTTGAATGGCTCCCGAGCATGTGTACTGTTGTAGCTGTAATGTTGAAATCCAAGGAATTATATGATGTAAGGGGATAGATATGAAGTGTTGAAATGTATATATACAGTGGGGAGAACAAGTATTTGATACACTGCCGATTTTGCAGGTTTTCCTACTTACAAAGCATGTAGAGGTCTGTAATTTTTATCATAGGTACACTTCAACTGTGAGAGACTGAATCTAAAACAAAAATCCAGAAAATCACATTGTATGATTTTTAAGTAATTAATTTGCATTTTATTGCATGACATAAGTATTTGATCACCTACCAACCAGTAAGAATTCCGGCTCTCACAGACCTGTTAGTTTTTCTTTAAGAAGCCCTCCTGTTCTCCACTCATTACCTGCATAAAAGACACCTGTCCACACACTCAATCAAACAGACTCCACCCTCTCCACAATGGCCAAGACCAGAGATCTGTGTAAGGACATCATGAGGAATGAAAATTCTGTGGATATATTGAAGCAACATCTCAAGACATCAGTCAGGAAGTTAAAGCTTGGTTACAAATGGGTCTTCCAAATGGACAATGACCCCAAGCATACTTCCAAAGTTGTGGCAAAATGGCTTAAGGACAACAAAGTCAAGGTATTGGAGTGGCCATCACAAAGCCCTGACCTCAATCCTATAGAATTTGTGGGCAGAACTGAAAAAGCGTGTGCGAGCAAGGAGGCCTACAAACCTGACTCAGTTACACCAGCTCTGTCAGAGGAGGAATGGGCCAAAATTCACCCAACTTATTGTTGGAAGCTTGTGGAAGGCTACCCAAAACGTTTGACCCAAGTTAAACAAGTTAAAGGCAATGCTACCAAATACTAATTGAGTGTATGTAAACTTCTGACCCACTGTGATGAAATAAATAAAAGCTGAAATATATTATTCTCTCTACTATTATTCTGACATTTCACATTCTTAAAATAAAGTGGTGATCCTAACTGACCTAAGACAGGGAATTTTTACTAGGATTAAATGTCAGGAATAGTGAAACTGAGTTTAAATGTATTTGGCTAAGGTGTATGTAAACTTCCTACTTCAACTGTATGTATTTTACTTAGTTGATGATGGAGGTTATAGGCCTACTGCTGCATTGGCCCACAGGCTATCTCTGAGTTCTATGCGCAAAATTTTTTAGCCTCCAATGGACCACAGTGTATCAATAACCAGGTTTCCATCCAACCTTTTTATGCTAGTAAAGACAGGCCTGATGGAAACAGAAAATTTGACAGTAGCCATTCCAAATGTTGACAAAACAAAATATGCTAGAAAAGGTAGGATCTTTTTGTGTGTAAATTGAATTATGCAAGAAATGGCAGTGGAAACGCTTTTATGCACAAATATTGAGATAATAACCAACATATGGAAGTAAACTTGGATTAACGTGATGGCATGTTGTGTGGTCCTCCCACTTCCACTCGGGAAAGCATGCAGTTTATAAGGCTACAGATGAAATAAGTTATGATGCACTTCACAGGGTGGTGAAAGTGCACGGTGATGAGGTTGAGCTCCTTTCCAATAAATATCAAGGGTCTTATTCTGGTGGCATGATCAAATCAAATCAAATTGTTTTGGCCACATGCGCCGAATACAACAGGTGCAGACATTACAGTGAAATGCTTACTTACAGCCCTTAACCAACAGTGCATTTATTTTTTATAAAAAAGTTAAATAAAACAACAACAAAAAAGTGTTGAGAAAAAAAGAGCAGAAGTAAATAAAATAACAGTAGGGAGGCTATATATACAGGGGGGTACCGGTGCAGAGTCAATGTGCGGGGGCACCGGCTAGTTGAGGTAGTTGAAGTAATATGTACATGTGGGTAGAGTTAAAGTGACTATGCATAAATAATTAACAGAGTAGCAGCTGCGTAAAAATATGGGGTGGGGGGGCAGTGCAAATAGTCCGGGTAGCCATGATTAGCTGTTCAGGAGTCTTATGGCTTGGGGGTAGAAGCTGTTGAGAAGTCTTTTGGACCTAGACTTGGCACTCCGGTACCGCTTGCCGTGCGGTAGCAGAGAGAACAGTCTATGACTAGGGTGGCTGGAGTCTTTGACAATTTTGAGGGCCTTCCTCTGACACCGCCTGGTATAGAGGTCCTGGATGGCAGTGATGTACTGGGCCGTACGCACTACCCTCTGTAGTGCCTTGCGGTCGGAGGCCAAGCAGTTGCCATACCAGGCGGTGATGCAACCAGTCAGGATGCTCTCGATGGTGCAGCTGTATAATTCTTTGAGGATCTGAGGACCCATGCCGAATCTTTTCAGTCTCCTGAGGGGGAATAGGCTTTGTCGTGCCCTCTTCCCGACTGTC